CGCTTCTTTCCCCCCAAAGAGTTGATCAGCAACGTATTGATGCGCTGTTTGTTAAGTAAGAATTAGAACGTAGCAATAGCGCCACCATTATCCGACCACGTTTATGGATACTAACATGATCCCCCTCGTGCAGTATGAGGGAAACCACTCCGGCAGGTTGTATATTGAACTTTCTGTAGAGGCATTATTTTTGACATAGTCATACTTGCCGCAAAAATTAGAAATATGCCCTTAATCCTAAATGTCTGCGCGTGATCTTCCGATGATCATAATTGTTGCAGCTTAGTTTTGTAAACCTGCTCGGTACACTGAAAACAAATACGGTATAAAAGATAACCATCTGGAATTAAAACAGCATACGCAATGCCCGACCGTACTGACGAACTTGCAACGTACACCACTTTCTCAGTCTAACACTAATACTGAGTTATTCTTGGCCGGCCGATATCACTAATGTAGTAATGTCAATAGTTCGTTCAAACTACGTTGTTTCACTATACCCACCCCTACCCCTACCCAGCACAGGACGATTGAGTAAAGCGGTTGAGATGAGACAGAGAGAGCCGTGCGCGCGAGCATCGGGAAAGTCCGAGCAGGCAGAGAGAGTAGAATGAGAGTAGAAGAAGACGCAGACGAGCTACACTTCACGTTGGCTCAAGAGGAACCAGTAGAGAGAGAGATATAATGAAGAGAGAGGCAGAAAAATACGATACGACGAGAGAGAGCACACTGACACCGACAGAGGTGAAGAGAGACCCGAGACCTCGGACGCAGAGGAAGAAGAGAGACGCGAGTACGACGAGACTAGGTAGAGAACCAGAGATCATGAGACTAGTATAACACCCTTTCAGCCCTGCAGCTACAGATGCCACCGAGACCTCTAGAGACATAAAGCACAGCACCGCACACGACGACAGATCACACGGAGCAGAGAAACGTACGAGAAGCACCGCGCACGACGAGCAAGACGAGAGAGAACCCCCGAGCAGCACCAGAAACACAGATATGAGAGAGACAGACAGAGACAGACGACCAAGAGGACATGAAAACAGAAGAACATACCAGACTAGCGACTAGAGAACAAGACAGCCTCGAGACAGAGAGACGAGAGGGAGAGAGAGCCACACCCACCTGCATCAGGATCCATATCTGCCTCGCGCACCGCGCCCCCCCCCGCCCCCACCCCCCCCCAGAGAAGAGCCAACGAGAAGAAACATGCAGAGAGAGCAGACCCCACAACAAGAGACGCGCCACCGCCCCCCCGACGCACCAAGCAGAAAAGTAAAGCAAAGTGCGAACAGAGAAGAAGAGAAGAAGAGCGAGAAGAGAGAGAGAGAGAGAGAGAGAGATAGAGACAGTGAGAAAGACACTATCGTATCAGACGGTACAGAAGACTAATCAGGCAGAAAACGATTTGAAGAACAACATTTCTTCTAAAAATTATCTACCTCAGAAGAAACCGGTCCACTTTCTACCGTGCACGAATTTCAAGAAAAACATGACCTTTGATTTACGTGAGGACCATGAGGCTCACCAGATGTCATCGTCGTGCAGACCCGCCCTCACACTTCGCCCCAATGACCCTGCGATCAATATAGACTTAATGTTACCGAATTATCAAACAAGACCCCCACTCCCCGATTCTTCCACCCTGCTCCCCCGCGAGTTTTTGTTCGTGTGGCCGATCATGCTTGAAAGGAGTTCATCGCAGCTTAGATTGTTTTGGCAATACCCTAGCTGTTCTACGTTGAGGAACGTCGTACAGAAGACAGAGACAATGAGCGAGAGAGAGAGAGCATCACGGCAGACGAGAGTAGAGATAGGCCGAGAGCAGAGAAGAGAGAGAGAGAGAGATGAGCAGAAAAGAGAGAAAGGGAGAGAGAGAGAGAAGAAAGAGACAAGAGAGAGACCGACAGGACAGAAGACAGAGACAGAGACAGAGACATAAGACCCAGCGACAAGCGATTTATGTAAGCAGGATGACACGAGACAGAGAACAGAGAAAGAGAGAGAGAGAAGAGAGAGAGAGAGAGCATGAGAGCGAGAGAGAAAAGCGAAAGAGCGAAGCCGAGAGAGAGAGAGACGGAGAAGAGAGGAGTAGAGAGAAAGTGAGAGAGAGAGGAGAAAGAGAAAGAAAGAGAAAGAGGATAGAGAGAGAAAAGCGAAAGAGCGGAAAGCGAGATGAGAGAGAGAGGACGACGAGAGAAACCCAGAGAGAGAGAGAGAGAAAGAGAAGAGAAGAGAAAAAGAGAGAGAGAGTAGTAGAGAGAGAGAAGAGACAGAGAGAGCAGAGAAAGGGAAGAAAGAGAGAGCAGAGAGAGAGACGGACAAGAAGGAGAGAAAGAGAGAGACAGAAGAGCCAACCGACGAGCAGAGAGAGAGAGAGTATGAGAGGAGAGCCGGGGAGAGAGAGCAGAGAGCGAGATGAGAAGATGAGAGAGAGAACGAGAGAAGAGAGACTACAGAGAGCAGAGAAGAGAGAGAGAGAGACCGAAGAGAGATGAAGAGCTGAGAAGAGAGAGAGAGAGAGAGAGCACGAGAGAGACAGAGAGGAGAGACATTGCGGAGAGAGAAGAAAGAGAAGAGGAGAGAGAGACGAGAGAGCGGGAAGAGAGAGAGAGAGAGAGAGAGGGAGAGAGGGGGGGGGGGGGAGCGCGCAACGAACACGCCTCGCTGATACGATTAGTGCTACACACACTCAACCATGTTTGACGTTTATGTAAACCTCCTGGTTTTTTAATCTCCATTTTTCAAACGGAATACATTGGACTAGATTTGAAGGTTGCTTTCCAAAACTATAAATTCCTCAGCAGGACCGGTTGCGAACTGCAGCGGCCTACGTGTACTCACGCGCGCGTGCGTGTGTGTGTGTGTGTGTGCGTGCGTGCGCGCGCGTGCATTTGTGCGTGCATTTGTGCGTGCGTGAGTGCGTGTGTGTTGCCTTATTAGGCGCATGTCATTAAAACTTCTGAGAAATATGCTTAGTTATGGTAATTTTTAGTCTAGTATCGTAGCGATACTATCGTTGCCTATGGGTAATGGTTTTTTCTCCGTTGTTTGCCATGAGTTACGGGATTAGGGCGGTTACAGCGCCTACTGCTATTATTTAGGCTACTGTTCTTGAATTGCATTCTTGCGGCCACGATTGAATGGGCTGTGGTCAAATGTTACCGTGTGACCACTGTGTGCTGTGAACATTGATTAGTGTAATTAGCAGAGGTAATTAATCTGTTTAAGATGACACCGGTAGAAACAAAACCTCTGCGCATAAGCATCAATAATAAACTAAGATTGTCGCACGAGCAGTCGGCTGCTTGGATGCACTTTGATCATCTTGTACATGAAAATGAAGGAGTTAGAACAACTGACAAAACAAATGCTGTCTGCGAGCTGTGCAAAATTGTGGTGTATTACACAGCCGCATGATAGTCTCTTATGTCGCGCGAAAAAATATCGCCATATGTATCGTATCGTGTAATATGCATCATAATACCAAGGGCGTAGCCAGGAATTTGGATTGGGGGTCCTCGAGCGAGTAACAAGGGGTCTGGTGGTCTGAATTTTTTTTGAGTTAAATGTATTAATTAAAAATTAAAGAAATAAAAAAAATTAAAAAAAATTAAAAATGTAATAAAAAAATAAAAAAATGAATTTTTATTTTGATTGGGGGGTCCTAGGGCTCCCAGGACTCCCCCTGGCTACGCGCTTGCATAATACGGATCGTATCGCGAACAAACCGTATCGTCTCACTCCTAGTTTAAATGTTACTGCCGCGACATTTCACGTGTGTCTAAGTCTTTTGCCAGTGAATCTAATGACATTTAAAATACACAGTCAGTGGCTTTTAATGTGGCAAACAGCTGGTCAACAAATATCATTTCAAGCTCTACGATAGATGAACTTTCGTAAAGGGTTCGTTTCACCATCCTAATCTTAGACTAACCGCTACGTATTCTTTGTCATCAGTACACTTCACTCCGGAAATCAATCAGAGACAACTCACTGCCCGAGATATATCGACACTGCAGCGTGGGCAACGCAAATGTAGCTTAGACTGTCTCACATTGCAGCACATGCCGCAGCAAGCACATATATATTAGGGAGAGCCACTCTTTCGTCAGTCTCGCCAGCTGTTTCGAGCTAGTAGGTCTCAGGGGAGAGATAGTGAATATAGAAATAAGTTGTGGATATAGAAATAAGTTAAAGGAATCGTTTACTCTAGGTTAACTAGGTTTA